TTGTCTAATTATGTGTGCAGTCTGGGGTGTGCGATAGACTTACCCCCACGTGATGCACCCTGGGCAACGTATACTCATACGGCAAAAAAGTCTATTAACTGGCAGTTGACTTCTCACTTCAAACTACCATGCCCCGACTGCTTGTCATATTCGCCCCTTCCACAATACTCATCTTACCTTTTCTATGCCTTTGTGTCTGTCTGTCTGTCTCTTTTACACCTGTGAATCATTATTCTATCCCCATTTCCACATTTTGTCACCTTCATGTTCCTCCTCCTCCCCTCTGTGAAGCCCCGAAGTCAGCTAAAGGGCTAATGATAACCATCAAAATGCCTGCCATTTGAAATAAATAAATTTTATCGGCACCTTAGTCAGTACAAAATTCGCGTTAATTCCATTACTCCAATTAGTGAAGCGCACAAAATTTAAAATGGCACATTGAGCATCACGATCACTTCAATGTCTGCAGCACTTCAAGTCCCCTTGCTCAATAAAGGAAATGATATTTGAACTGGTGATACTCCACTTTGCTTCCTTTAGGGCGTGACCTGTTGTAGCCTTTGTGCTGTAGACCTTGTGCAAATTACAGTACACCCACCGAAGACAATATCAGCAAACAAACATGGACCAAGGAATTATGCAACTCAGAACGTAAGAGAAAGCAGAGTGAGGTCACCAATCAATGCCGAAACGAGAGCAGGATTACGTGTGTGTGTGTGTGAGTGAGTGTGTACGTGCAAAGTGTACTGGCAAATGGCAAGAAAAGGTGGTAGTTGTATGCTGCATACAATTTGCATACAATCGCGTAGGTCATTAAGTCGACAAAATGACACCTAAATGCCTACTTACAAGCATCCTATTACTGAGTCTCAAAGCTATCTCCCATCACCCCCCCCCCCCCCTCACTATAAAGTCGAGTGCTATTCACAACTGGGCCACAACCTGAGCTAGGGACCAACATAATAGAATAACATTTGGTTGTTTTCCCAGAAGTGTTTAAGGTGTTAACACACACACACTTCGTCTGCATTAGAGGTCCAAAACCATTCTTCATCTATTCGCAGGATGAAAACGAGAATGGTGGATGCATCAAACTCATCTGAATCGAGGAAGAAAGCAGCCTTACATCATAATGATTAGTACTGCAATAAAAAATTATGGAGATTATGGCCGCTGAACAAGGATCCTTCAACACCGTGATAAGAGTACAACACGAAGTTGAGAATTGCAATGGAGACTAAGGGGCCCCTGTGGCTAGAAGAAAGCTACACAGCATGGTAATGTGCGCTCATCCACCCTCTCCGCCCCACCCACCCACCCACCCCCCTCGAAATTGACCAATTAAATTGGGATGTTTAAACCACCTCCTCTATATTCACTAGATCTCGACCAATCTCATTATCACTTTCGCAGAAAAAAGAATTCGAAATGTGATTGAAGTCGACAACCACTTGAATGGGGGGGGGGTTATCACTCAAAACAGCAAGACTTTTATTGAAAAGGAGAATTGACGAAAATGGCAAGAGCAATGGGAAAGAGTCGCAACCGATGGCGAAGTATACCCATTTATGAGTGAAAATTCGTCACCGCAACAGGTAGCAACTCACAATCAAACAAAAGGCGCCTAAGTGTCCACTTAAATTTTTGAGCATATAGCTAATTGCGCTAGTCATAGGCAGTTCAAAGGAAGTCTAGGCGCTTACCACTGTTATATTCACCATAGCAACTGGGTAAAGTGGTACTTCCAGAATGAAGATAGAGTGCAGAATTGACGCCATTTGAGGCGACACTTGTTGTTGTTGTCGGCATAGTGGCGGTCTGCTGAAAGGCATGCTGTTGAAGATGATGAGGATGCGCACCATGGTAGTTGGTCATTGTGCCATTCGAGTTCACCTCGGGGTACTGCAATTCAATGGAATTACCGGGAGACATGTAGGTACTCGTATGAGACATATCCGGAAGGACTGTAAAGGGGAAATAAGATTAAGCATGACATGGTTTTTGTACTGTTAATTATTCATTGAAATGTGTGTATATATTTGTTCAGATGCCAAATTGCTCAGTCGTTACCCCCGACAGAATGCTGCTCAAAATATACTCAATTTCGAGTTGATATTGAATTCTGAGGGATTATGACAGTTTCAGAGGCTTTACCAACCATTAACCCCGCACACACACACCAAGATGCTAAGTTTTAACCACAAAGATGATGCCAAAAGCAACAAAACATCTCCGTCTTAAGTGCCCCCACTGGTCCAACCGTTAACCGAACTCTCAAGGATTTGGTACTCACTAAATTCATATCATATCATACACCATTCGTCTTCGATGGCCTCTGGAAAAGACATGGCTGGTGTAGAAGCCTAAGGTGCGTGCACAAAGCATTATTTGCTTTCCGTTGTCCAACTTTATTTGCTGTGTGTTTCCGATTAATTACGTGCATTCGTTTAAAAAGAATTTAATTTTCAAGGATATTTTTTTTGAGAAGCAATGCTCAAATTTGATAGATATTGATGGAGAATTTCCCTAAATTAATGAAATCATCAATAAGAAATAAAGTGAAATTGGAATATAAAGGCTTCGTTTGGAGTGAAAATTATTAATTGGGTTGAGTAATTTTTCGAATGGAAAAGTGCCATAAAATGATTCGGCTAACCATTGCGACATTAATTCACTCAAGAACCCAGAGAATAAATCCCCCAATTTGAAATCCGTAATAATAATAATCCATCAAGAGGTGGCGAAATGAGCAAAACTCAAATTAAAAGAAACGAAAAGATGAGGTGCTTTAGTAATCTGAGAGTTAGTTCAAGGCTTCTACTCAATTCACTCTTAATTAGTCTATGATACTAAACTCCCAACCCCAATGAATAAGTGGCAATAAATCCTATCTTTAAAAATAAACTCACAAGTGGAAGGTTGAGGTGAATTTCCCACAGATACGTGAGGTGGTGATGTCACCGTAAAGGAATCCCTAGTCATTTGCACCTGATGCTGTTCGTCGCCGTAATAGCAAAAGTTCGTCTGTTGAGCTGCCGGTACAGAAAAAGGTGATGGGATATAATCTGGCGGGACATTGAGCTCTGTCTGAGTGTGAGCATGGGAGAGACGCATTGTTGCAGTACCGACATCCACAAGGGGGAAAAATCTCTCCCCTCCCTCCGTTCCGACATTCACACTTTCTGGTTGGCCATACTCAGAGGACTGAGTAGTCTGCAGGGGAAATAAGAACGGTTAAGTGGAACAGTTGACAGCCACATGGGAGTCCGACACACCCGGGATATTAATACTGATTAAATTTGTTAATGAAATATTCTGCCCTACTATCTCCCCGAGCAATTGAAAAGAGTTGCAACTATGTTCCTCAACATAGTAGTCTCTCTTGTGAATTAATTTCAGAATATCATATAAGGTTAACTTACGTCTGGCGCATACTGTAGATTACTTAACTGGGTTGAGGGTTGAGTGGACATAGGCGTATTGGCATAACCCCCAGAACCGGCTGACACCAGCGGAGGCAGGACAGTAAGGTTGGAGCCCAGTTGGGAGATGACTTCGCCAATTAAAGAGGCTGTTGCATTTGAGTATGAGACGGAGTTATTTTGGTTAAGTCCAGTACCAGGTGAAACACCTAGGGGGAGAATTAGAAGGGGGAGAATAGCGACTCTAGTAGAAGGGTTGGAAGAAGTGCTTGGAATGTCCGAAGAGGAAGATGAGGTAGATGGTATAGAAACTTGAGAGGATCCAATTTCGACACCGAGGGAAGTGTGGTGTTGTGGTGAGCTTCTCAACTCTGGTCTGAAATAGGCAAGATTCAGGCGATCGAATACTTTTCATTCGATAATGAATAAAGGAAATAATTATTTGAAATGAGATTCCTAAACAAAGCTCCGGACAATAGTAAGTTGGTATTGAGAGCCGAAAATGCAAGACACCAACATCGAAAGTCAAATTTATCGACAATAAAATACATCTAGCCACTATCGCATAAACATCAAAATTTATAGAATTCTATGAGATTGAAATATCAGATGGTATGGATACGCAAATTATATAGACGAATAAGATAAGAAAAATACACTACGATACAAAAGAATGCTTTAAAATTAAAGATCTATTATACAACAAAATAAAATTCAGGGAAGAAATAAAAAGGAACACTCACCTTGATCTAACATCATGACCCGAGCGACGAGAATGTTGGTTGAGAAACTTCTTGGCTTTATATTTGCGACCACAGATTGGGCACTCAAAATTGGTTCCACATGTTTTAGAATGGTAAGCTTGAGCACTGGGTGTTGAGAATCGCTGAGAGCATGTTGCGCACTGAAAAGTTTTCTTCATATGCACCAATTGATAATGCTGAAACGAAAGGGATTAATAAAAAAGAGGAACCAATAGGGTGAAAATAAAGTAAAAAGAAAAATAATTACCTGTTTCAGATGCCAAAATTTTGAGAAACCCGTCCCAGAAGATTTGGTATATTTGCAATTAGACACTGGGCAATGAAAAACATCGGATATATCCGTTTTCTTGCGCAAAAGAAAAGCGACATCTTTGGCATCCTATAAAGGTATGGGTAAGCAAAGCAGAAAAAGTACATTAACAAGACCGTGAGTTTTAATATAATGAGCTCGGAGATTGGACTGTGTTTTAACTTGAAGACCACAAATATTACAGTTATAGAATGCCGATGGTAGAGACTGAAGTTCTTCCAATGGCGGTGTGATATGACGGATTTTGGGACTTTCTACAGTTGTAGAAACCAAGACTTCGTTTTGTGACATTGTGCTGCCACTGTTATAAAATAAATAACGATTACATAGTGATCTCATGTTTAAAATTTAAAGATATATAAAGTGTGGGTTATGAAAATAAATAAAAGGTGTGATTAAGAAATAAAAAGTATTTCTGTGAAACGGAACTTCAAGGAAATATTAGGCGAATTTAGGCTAAGGCAACCAAGCTATGAGTTCAATGTCGCAGGTCGTCCTTGAAATGCTCTCTAAGGTCTGATATTTTGTTTACGGAATTTGTTTATCACCTGTTGATCGTCAATACCATTTAAAAAATAATATTTATTTACAAAAAAACCTGTAATTAATGAGATATATTTTTATTATTGCCGTTATATATTTAAATTATTTAACTTTCATTAATCAACGCAAGGTTGTGGTAAATGTGCATGGTGTCTTCTATCACTTCGGACTTAACACATGTGTTAACATCGTTTAGATAAAGTTTCTTTTTTTCTAACATATACTTATATTTTTGCCTACAACGTTAAATCTTCATTGAATTTTAAATTCCACTGCAATTTTACTTCAGGCTCAGCAATGTTCAACAGCTTTACTACATATGATACTTCCTGTGAAGATTCGTTTAATGAAAAATTGCATAATTTCTCCGAATTGATTTACAAGTAAGTTAATCTTTTAAACCGGACATATTTCAGAAAAATGTCAATAGGGGAGAACGCTGAGTTGAAGAAACCGCTTACTTCGTCGTTGTCAGTGGATCCTGAACGTTTCATCGAGGTATTTAACAATCTACTAGAAGAAAATGTAAAAGGTTAGAATCGTGCTCATGCTTTGTATGTGTAACTAATTATAGATTCTTCGTATCAGTTTGAACTCATTGATTGCGCTTTGCATTACATTACAAAATTCAAGTGCGACGATAAAGCAGCCATATTAGAAATGCTTTACAGTCGTTTGGCAACTTTGTACGGGAAAAATATCGATGTATTTTCTGAAATTGTTTAATTCAATCTTTTAGACACAACTTTTTCCGCTTTATGATGTTCTTGCAAAGGCATTGAAAATACATTGTCCATTCCGGACTTTGAACTTGAACGGGTTGAGCACTTTTATTGATTCAGCCCTCGGTTGCTTACAAAGCAAATGTAGGTTCCTATTTTCCTCTTACTTATAAATCGCTATAAAGTATTTTTAATTATAATTTAAGTGATTTGAATCCCCCCCCCCCGGAAAAGTTTTTTCTCTTCTAGGCTAGCATGCCTAGACTTATGCTCAGTAACCTCTATTGTGAGACCCCCTCAATAATATGAAAGAAACAAACTCTCGGTGTTGTCTGTCTATTACAGAGCTTAGTCAATGAAATGTAATGAATGTTTATTTTTTTGATGGCCAGCTGAGAGGCCTTTGCACTCAACCATGTTGCCTCCCTACGCGACACGTAGCACGCCCGCCCCACCTTCGAGTCTGTCTGAGTGTACATCAGATTTCTTTGTTCAGGCATGGCAAGGTTGTGCACTCCACACTCTAAAATACCTTGATGGATTTGTATAGGCTTTTGTCATCCGCTTTACATTATGCTCTTCGTTTGTTGCACTGGCTTATGAATAAATTTTTCCCTTCAGCTATACCTACTTCATCTTCTCACATGTCCTCTATTATGGATTTCATACTCGCTTTGTGCAAATCCTCTTACGATCATTTCGCTTGGATGACGCAAATGACGCCTAGAAGACCCGATGGTTTGCCTTTTCGTCTCCTGCTCCTTGTCATTGGAATTGAATTAAAACTCAGACTACCGGCGAATCTTGGAGGATATCTAGAGGTGAGGAATGCCTCTTATACTTATGATTATGTGTGTTTCATTGGCATCTGTCTATTGTCTTTTCTTCCTCTAGGTGCAAGCAAATGGTGAAAAAATGCTTCAAACTTGTCTGGAGCTCCTCTCACTGATTATTTCCGAAATCAATGTCTCGAATAGTGATTTGGCCGATGATGTAGGTTTTTCTCAAATTCAATAATGATGAAATCGAGTGTTGTTATCTGATTAGTAGATAAGCAGTACGGTGACTTCTCATACAAGTAGTTAAGTTATCTATATGACGAATTGGTGAAACAATTACACCTATAATTTGCAATGTTATACGTCTTAATTACTCTACAAACTATATAAACTTATTCTGTTCCTTCTTTAGATGAACAATGGAATTATTGGATCAATGTCTGATGATGCTCTGATCAGCATTATGAATCAGTTAATCGAATTGGGCGATCTCATGGCAATCTCATTAGCTCCCGACCAAGATCCTACCTCTCTTACTGATGCTCAAGCGTTATCTTCATCTTCGGCAAATTTTCCTGCATCACCTCTACTTTTACGTACTCTCAGTGTCTATCTGCAGTGGGTTCTCTCTAGTTACAAAGATCAATTTTTAAATGCTACTGACTGCGAAATAAGTAGTGCTGCTCTTTCGGATCATATGCTTTTCCAATCTCCCCCACCAGAGACTAAAGAATACACGGCTTTAATGAAGAAATTTGAGGCCAAGGTTTGGAAGCCCCTCACACCACTTATGGACTCTGTCATGTAAGCATTTTTTAAGATCTTAAGTATTACAGATTTAGTTTTAAAAGTGTTACTTTTTGAGTTTTGCATATGGCTCTTTTTAAAAGTGTATATCAGTCAAGTTAGTGTGTATATTTCTAAATTTCCTTCATTTGAAAGTTATCTTGGGAAATATAGGGCTTCGATTTTCATGAAGCTAGGATTTTCTAATTCGGTCGAAATTAGTTTGTTTGGATGATGTACCTATTCAGAAGACTCGTTGCAACTCGGTTTTTTTTAAAGTAATGCTTGCTCAGATCATGATGTAAAAATAGGGTGAACTTACGATCACTTTGAAATGCATTAGTAATATAAGAAAGACGATCTGTTAGAGGTGATAGAAGTTTTCAAACCTATTCCTTCCTCCGGATCGGTGAGGATTTTGGTGTTGATATCAGGGCCATCAATGGGCCTCCCGATGATCACCTGGAAAAGTAAATTTGTCATGACCCAACTTCATATTGACTCTGCCGGCTTGGGGTATTTTGTCATCGTTTTGTCACTAAGACAACACTAAGCTGTTTCACCGCAGAAACTTATTAGAAAGGAGAGAAGTGATAATTATGTGAATAACGAAGTAATTGACCGAAGCATGTGTAGATTAGCAGATGCCTTATAGATCTGAACTAATTTATCACCATCCTAAGGTCCCTTTGAAACAATGAGCTTGTCACAAACTCTGTTACTGCGTAAATCCACATCTATTTAAGTCACCTCGGTGTTGATTCCTCTGATGGGTTTATTGTCATCTTCATGAATGTTTGCTTTCTTCTAGACCCATGGCATTCAGCCTACCAAAAGAAGAAGACGATCCTAATGCTCAATGGCTGTGGCTTTGTCGCAAGCTCATTCTCCGTCTCGCTCGTCTCTTTCCATCGGTGGTACTAACGAGTTTCAACGGACACCTCTATGAGATGTTGCTCGCCAAGTGTTCAAGTGAAGAGGAAAGCACGTTGAAGGTAGTTTTTTCGCGGTTGGTATTGGGCTTTTTTTGATTTGCATTTTGTAATCACATACATTCCCCCCCCCCTTCCCCCTTTAGACCTCATACCACCAAAATTGTACTAATTGGCCTATTGTGTACTGTGAATAATGCTAATTACTAGTAGGTCTAATAAAGGGATTGGGCGCATATCTCTTGGGGGGTAGAAGGGTAGCATCGTGGAGCCACGCTGTTGACGAGCCCGAAGTCCGCTACTGCTTAATCGTTGTGTAGTGGGGCATTTCACTCACTTGGTTAACTTGCGATATCTGCCCACTTCTCTAACAGTGGTATATGGGGTGGTTTCTAAAGTCTCTTGTCATACGATATGCCTTCGTTTAATGTAGACTTCCTCCGGTTTATCCTTCTTGGCTGATGTGTCTACTCTTCTGGATATCACAATGACAGTTTCCACATTGGAATCCGCATCAGTCGACTTCAGTGATGTTTGTGTCGGTGTTGTTGGTCGACTATTTTCCCACCTCTGTCAGTCAAATTGGGGATCATCCGTGTTGAAAATTCTCGTCTTTAAAGACGACTCGGATGGAAGCCTGTGTGAGGAATGTGTAAATGTAAAACAAATCCAACTTATGGAACGTTACTGTGATGCTCTGTGCCTTCTTCGTTTTCTGGTGGTGAATCTTTGGCAAGAAGAGATGGCTTTCTGTCTTCGAGTTGCTGAATTGAATGCTCCTGGTAAGTGCTTTCACGCGTATTATTTCAAATTCATTCCATAAACATTTATGAATGAGATTTCAATTTAGTCTTCTCTAATATATGCATATTTATTTATTTAATTATTTATATATATAATTATCACCCACTGATCTCCGTTCGAATGTGCGTCGATAACCTTTCTCAAAGAAAGTTGTGAACTGCACTACTAACCGGCTTAATGCTGCACTTTTGAACCCAAGGGTATGAGAATTCTCTCGATCGTGCGAAAACCCAAAGATCTGAATAACGGGTTTTGGGCCTTTCTAGTCCTGAAACTCATCTTAACTTGCCTTCGAAAGTTTTATATGCAATTTCGTTTAATTAACAGCAATGTGTATTTCGGGATTAACTTCCAGTGAAGAAAATAGACGCATAATGGGGGGCTACTCTTCCATCGAAAGAGTTCGCTTTCTTTTACCATAACCCCTCTCCACGCTATAGAAACGGGTTATATTAACTCGTGTGGACTGAACAGTTCCAAGTTGCTTTCTCAATCACCCCATTTTTGAGCGCTCTTCTCTTATCCAGCGATTTCCAGTTGATGAGTGGTAACCATTTTTAATATTTTTTATGTAGATGAGATGGGAGGGGAGAGGGAGTCAATTCCGGAAAAGTGGCTTTCTAGTGCATTTATGACTTGTCTTCGGTGTTTGACAAAGTTGGATCCAGAGAGCCTACTGGACTTGAAGTTGTCAAATCAACTGCATTCTCCACTTCGAGGGTTCTATGCGTCGTACACGGCTCGTCAATCAGCAGAAGCTCTCATTCAATGTTGGTTTGATATCTTGAATCCTCTTGAAGCTCTAATTCTTATTTCTCCATTAGAGTTATCCTTTAATTGCTATTTTCGGCTTCCATCATATGGAAGACGATATTAGAAGGATAATATGTATAATGAATGCAAATCAATATTTATAAAATGCAGAAGATGACCGGGATTACGTCCAGCAATGTTTGAGTGTTAACGTCTATTCGAGTTGGGATGATAGTCAACATCTTGAATGCTTTCTCTCCCCATAATCCTCTTCAGCTTTGAAACGTCGTCTGTAGAATAGGGGGGAAGAATTGGGGATAGCTTAGTTATGTTTTGTACACTGCAGTGATCATACTGGTGAACTTCACCTTCCAATTTCCATCGATTGAAGTAATGCCCCTCTGCAATTACTATCGTAAACCACGCGCTAGGTTTCACGATTTTTTCTCTGGATAACTACTGAACTAATAAAAGCCTCTTCCACTGTGTGATATCGAGAGATCTGTTTTCAGACCACATGATTACTCATCTGTTCTTCTGCCCATACGAAAAAAGAAGATATCACAAAATTCGGCAGTCGATTCACTATGTGCACTTCCTTTCTTGTATTTTATTATTCTGATCACTCTAGTTATAAGGACTGCCCTGTTTGAATTTGTAATGGAACTTTATATCTTTAACTAAACTTAGTTTAAACCATCTCTACGTTCGTATTTGCCCATAATCTATGTAACTGGAAAGTGGGTGTCCGATAGACTTACCACTCCACGTGGTGCCCCCTGGGCAACGTCTACTCGTACGTCAAAAAAGTCTATAACTCGGCAGTTGACTTCCGACTTCAAAACACCATCACCCCACTGATTGTGTCATATTCGACTACTTTCACAGTACTCATCTTATCTTTTCTCTACCTTTGTCTGTCTGTCTCTCTGAAACACTCCTCTGTCCCCCCTCTCTACTTTCTTTCACTTTAATGTTCCTTCCCCTCTGTGGAGCCTGAAGTCAACCAAGGGGCTAATGATAACTATCAAAACGCCTCCCATTTGAAATAAGTACATAAGTAAATGTAACAGGAAAGCAAAAAATCTATCGTTAAAATTCAAGTTGGTGTGTTTTGAAGCTCTAGGTATTTGTTTTGTTGACATTCCATAATTGCCAACCCTGCCTCTAACCACTGTAGAGCCTTTTACTTAGCCCTGAAGTACTTCCTGGCGGGTAAAACTGCCGAGGTTACAGTTTTAGATTATTTTTTTGCTCCAATGCCTCACATAGTGCCTGAGTTATATTTTGTCTCCTGTGTCTGCTTTAATTGAGTAGTTATTGATTTGCATCCCTAAAAGTTTCATGAATTTCATGCTTCAACCTCCAATTTTTTGTTATTCAATTTCTTTAGGTTGTCGTAGCGCACGAGACTCGCAATTTTGCAATTATCTGATGAGAAAACGGGAATTCAAGGAATTGGCTGAAAAAATCTGCTTGGATGGCTAAACTCCTTCCCTCCTTCCGTATCAACTCTTGTATCATTTTTTTATGGTGTGTTTTTTTATTGTACAAAAGTGGGCTTCCTCAATCTCTATTTTGAAGGAGACGATTTGCTTGGGCTGAATATACGCCATGCTGATTTCAGTGTGTAGAAGTCATTCGCACAGATTATACCTTGGTTTGGCAACAGCATCACAACAACATGAATGGATTGTTTAATTGTGGGTGTAGGATTGTGGTGTTGCATTAGGAGCCCCCCAGAATAAACATCAACAACTAAGGCGGTAAATCTGCTAAATTGTTTTGTTCTCTCTGGTATTTACAGATAGCAGTATGAAATTCTCATATTGGTCTCTCCATTAGTAAGGTGTTTGAAAGGGAACTACCTTAGAGGAAAGATAAGTTTCTGGGCTTTGTGTGAAGAATGGGCAGATTTGAGGTCAAGAAATGAGTCCACATCACAAAAATCGATAGCAGCTCTTAGGGAGGCAACCAGGCGAATGCTGGCTAAGGAGGTTGAGTTCGTGAATAGGTCAATCGGGGCTATGAGCAAGCTTGACTATGAATGTAGGGCTAAATTAAGAAGTCGAAGCAATGAATTCGCTCGTTCAGGTCAGCTCCATCCTTTCAATATGGCTCTTAAGATTTTTGGGTCTACAGCCGGAAATCTTGCCTTCGTCTCTGAAACGAAATCTGGAGAGAACGTCAAACATTTGGATTTTGATTACATTCCTTAGTGTTTATCGATGGGTTGGACCAGATTCCTAATTTCTTTTAACGCGTATCACTTTAGCAATGCCTCTAGGGCATCAAATAAAGGATCATTTTTCCTTTGGTACTCAGTGCACTACCACCTGTTGCATTGTCTCTTGGTTCTTCAAAGCTGGATGGTGTGGTCGTTTTATCCAAGGAAAGGCGAATGATTGAACTCAGAATTAGTCAGGATTTCCACAAACAGTAGAACTAGGACCAATACGTTGGCCTCCTAAAAGCACTCTCCCAGACTTTTGCTCTTGAAGAAAAACAATTCACT